GTCTTCGCTAGAGGAGGACCTCTGCACATCCTCGGAAAGGCTTCCAACAGCGTGTTGGTTACATCATGCGGTCCGTGCGGGACAGCAGGACACAAACCCATCAAGAAAGCACCGTGAGATCTGTTGGCCCAAGACCCGCGCTCGCCACAAAACAAACATGAAGACTCACGCCACAGCACGTGCGTGGGGTGCACAGGCTTGCCAGAACTCGAAGGAGAAACTCGAATTGGCTCGGGGTCCAAGCGAAGGGACCGCCACAGGAACTCGTCTCGAGGCGGAAGCTGCCTGCCTCAACGGGCCCATTTTTTCGAAGACCTTCCCCCCTCCCCCTCCTCACGCACACGCTCACGCACACACGCACGCAGCCTCACCCCTCCCTCCAAGGTGGCAAGGCAGGTGGAAGCAATGCGAGCGCGGAGAGAGGGGGCGGTGTCCTTGACATGTCTATGGCAAAGTGAACAAGGCCACACACCTTCGGATAGCGACCAGAGGTGCTAGCTGGACCGAAACTCTGGCTCGATCCACCTGCAGCACCTTAGCACCCAGTCGATGGGTTGCTTGTCTAAACGTTGGTTTGGTTCCACCCGCAGAGCGGCACACTCAAATATGATACAGGCATTGCGCTTAAGAGTTGCATAAGCTTGTTGAATTATATCAGTACGATCGCGGGCAACATCCGCTGGAACCTGGCACTCGCCCGCTTACGTATGCCACAACAATTGCGAGCCAACTCAATACTACATGGTCCCAAATAGGACTCATTGAAACGTGCACACTTCAGGGAGCCTTCAAGCAAGTGAGAAGGAGCATGGGAAAGGCGAAAGGAGGCAGGTCGAGAGTCGAGCAACTCTCAGAACTCCCACCACAGGTCATAATTTGCCAGCTTGGAAGAATGGACCTTGCCTGGGATGAAGGCCTTCACTATGTTACGTTGATCACTGGCCAAGTGCAGATCTTGAAAAGGGCCAACAAGCATCAAACACTCAACGATCGCCGCAAACTCTGCACGTGGAACAGTCTACCTCTTAGAGTCCAACTCTCCCTTGACAGCACAACCACAGGCAAAAGCAGACCCTGGGACCATCCGGACGAAAGAAAATAGAGAGCAGCACGCCTGAGCACAGGCAGCTTAGAGAAAGGGCCTCCCGACCCATCGGCGCCGCACAATCTCCTGGGAAGAGATCCAGGCACGAGGGCCCCAGGCACGCGGACGTTACGGAGCAATCTCGAACCGGGGAGGGGCGGCAGCCGAAACCAGCAGAGGTGAATAATCCCGGACCCAAAAACATGGGAAATCTGACACTTCTTGGAGCGCCGCATGGCGCAAGTGCTGAAAGCCGGCAATATCTAGAATTGTACCTATCGTTTCACATGCGAGACCAGAAGCGATGAGATGAAGATTCTGAGTCGCGCTTGCAGCGGCGGCAGAAGGGGGCCAGGGACCAACTGCGCAGCATGCGAGGAGGAGGAGGAGGAGGAGGAGGAGGAGGAGGAGGAGGAGGAAAAGGAGAAGGAGGAACAGGAGGAGGAGAAGGAGGACAGACATTTCTCGAGGTGGTTGAGGATCGAACTTGCGCCTCGGGTCCTACGGGTGGCTGCCCTGCCAGAGAACCAGGCTTCCTTTGTTCTGGCGCCCCCTGAAGCAAAACCGCTATTGGGGATAACACATACATACACCACGGTACAGTGTCAGAGCTACCCACTTTTCTTTCTAGCGCCATGGGCCGACAAGGCCAGCGTGGACTGCTGCGGCCGCGGGACTTCTCCTGAGAGTGCGCGATCTGCGCAGCGTCCACGAGCAGGAACCCGCACTGGTGTTGGCAATGTGGTGCTCACTGGGGCAAGACGGTCGCGGGTTGGAAGTCCCCAGATCACAGCCCACGCGAACACCATGAAGGAGGAGGCCGTGGTTCAGGAGGATAGAAGGGCAAGAAGAGTTGGGGCAAGAAGAGCGGTGGCGGAGATGGGCGGGACAAGGCCTCCTCTCCTCTCCTCGTCGCGTCGTTGATGACGGCGCTCTTGTTTCAGAGCCCGCCTCGCAGGAAGATGCGTCCTTGGACAGAGGACCAGCGAAGCCTGCCGTCGCCATCGGGCAGCCGGTGGTCCACTTGCCCCACGACGTGCTACGCAAGTTGCAGAGTCTTCGAGCAGAACGTGGCAGTTGCCAGATGGGCCGGCGACTCCTGGCGGTCAGTGGGAATTTCCAGAAGTTCGAACGACAAGTTGACAACCGCGAGAAGGCGGCTTGCATGCTGGAAGCTAAGGTGCTGAGTGCCAGGGTCCATCTCCAGGGGCAGGAAGAGGAAACTGGGCGAGGCCAAGGCGTTGCTGGCGGAGGCGACGCGAGAGCTGGAGGAGTGCAAGCACGAGACTGCCGCGCTGCAGCCGCCGACCATGGCGGAGGCGCGCGCAGAACCAGCAAAAATCAGCGCCACCAGTATCTTCGCCCTTGCCAGAGATGAGGAGCAGCAGGCAGTTGCCAGCGTGGCCGCCGAACTAGGAGGTGGAAGTCCGACAGGGAAAAGCGGTGCTGGAGCTTTTAGGGCCCCTCTTTGCCGGCGGCGCGGCCCCGTCGCCCAGGGGCGGGCTGGCGGCCGCTGCGGGGGGCGGAGAGTCTCGGCGTGATCCGCGGCAACCGTAGCCAGCAGCACCTAAGCGAAGAGATCGTCGGGATCGCGATCGCGGTGGAGCTGCAGCCGACCCGCCAGCAGATGGAGATCGCGACCGCGGCCACGAACGCAGCCCGCGCCGGCGTGGACGTGGGCCGCGCGAGCAGGCCGCGGGTTCCGAGGGCAAGGCGGCCACTGCCGAGCCCGCGCCCCCGCGAAGGCCGCCGCCAGCGGAGCGGGCGCAGGCCTCCAGGGCGAAGAGGATGATGCTCTACACTTGCAAATCACAGAATGGAGGCCATGGCCGCCCCCCACTCGTCGCTCCCCAGACCCCCCACTCCGTCTCGGGCGGGCCGCCCTTCCGCGTCTGCGCGGTTGGCGCTCCTGGTTGGAGACATGCCCTCGACCGCGCCAGTCTGCATTGCTGCTAGGATGGGGAAGTCTTCGGGCCCCCGCTGCGGGCGCCGACGAAGGTTGCCCTTCGGGTGGAGCTGCGATTTTGTTTTGGAGTCATCTGGATTTTCGGCGCGCTATGCAGAGCGCCCTTCGGTCGGACAGCCCGCGCCCACCTGTCGCGCTGCAGCCCTGGGGGTGCCCAGCGATCATTGAAATTATTGGTGGGCCGGCGTCGGGCTGGGGAAGAGGAGCGTGGATCTCTGCCAAGTTCTGGGAGAACGCGCGCTCGCGCGCGGATTGCCCCAGATCGGGGGCGGCGATCTCAATTTGGCGCCGAGCGATGTCAACGTGGGACTGGAGCCAGGCCGCCTTGCAGGCGAGGTGGTCTTCGATATTGCAAACCACGTCTGCGCGATTGAGGATCCGCATCGTGCAATCGATTTCTACGATCAGCCAGATTGGTCGGCGCCGCCCGCTCTGTCGAGGTGGACCTCGGCAGCGGCCGCCGCCTCGCAGCGGAGACCTTCCGTTCAATTTGAGAGACTGGCCAGGTGCAAGGGCCCCCCCGACGCGAGGCCGCTATGTCCTATCGCTGCGCCCTGAGAATATCGCAACCCGGGAGCTTCTCTCTCGAGCGCGCCCTATTCATTCGGGGCCCCTGTCCTCCGAGAGCGCCAAGGGCTGGAGGGTGGCCAGGGCCAAGAGCGCGACGGCAGGTGCGCGCGGGGCTGGAAGGATCTCAAGCAGGTCAGCCATTGCCCGCCAAGGGCCCCCCCCCACGCACCATGGAGTCCGTCGACCTCCGCGCCGCGCTCGTCGCCGGGCGCGGCCCGAGGACCCCCGATGGGGTGACGCAAAGGCTGGCTCGCGAAGAGACACGCGGGGCTCCGCGCTCTCCCGCAGGGCCCCGCCACGCTTTCGAGGCCGGGGTTCGCCGGCCGATCCGGCGCGCGAGGAGGAGTGGCAGGCCGCGGGGGCCCCCATGCCGTTTCTGGCCAGCGCGCCGGACTCTCGCTGCCCAACTCGTCGTTTTCGCAATTGGGCCAGCTACATTCATTTGGGCGAAGGGGGAGTGGGATCTCAGGCATCGCGACTCGGCCATCGAGCATCGCGTTGAGCTTGAAATCCACTGTCTGGCCGAAGACAAGACGAAGGCGAGAGGGGATTGGAAGCGCTGGCGCGAGGAGGCCTTGGCTGGAGGCGCATCGAGAGCGCGCAGGTTCACCGCGTTGGCTGCCGGGGTCAAGGAAGACGCGGTCGAGCTGCCAGACGGCGCTCTCTCTGCTTTTATGTTTCAGCAGGTTTGGCCACCAGATAGAGATATGAAAGGAAGCGTGGGGAGTTCCCCCCACCCTCCATTTGCACCGCGAAGGAGAGGGAGATTCGCTTGTCCCCAGGGGCCCAGGCCCCGAGGATATTAAGAGCTTGCCGAGAAGATTCAAAACGGCCACGCTCTCCATTGACCGGTTTCATCCCACAATTTCGTTGAGTTGCGCGATGCGTCGCTGCGTGTTATCTCGGGAGCTTTCGCGGCCATGAGCGCCCTGGGAGATGCGCCGAATCGCCTTCGCCAGTTGTTGTTTTGCATAGGAAGCCCCAGGAAGGACGGATGCCAATCGGTTTCCTTTTCCAGCCCGCCACCCGCTTTTATCCCCGAGGCCTTTCGAACTCCTGCAGGCGCTGGGAATCGAAGCGCGGCGCGAGCCCTCTTGCTAGCACGGCTCCGCGCAGGTCTACCACGGGCGCCGCGCGCGGGCAGACTGTGCGAAATGCCCGTCGCCGTAACCAGGGCGAGTTTGTGCGGGGCCCTCCTGGCGGACCTCGAGCAATGTTATGAACGCGTTTCCCACCGGGCCTTCTGGGCCAGATTGGAGGCTTGCGAGCGTCGCGGGTTTGGCCTGAGTTTTACTTTGCCCTGATACCGATGGCCTCGTCGCCCGGTGATGGGCTCGGCTCTCAGTGAGAAGCTGGGCCCATCCAGGGGAAGAGCGGCCAGGTTCTCGACGGCCGCCTGCGACATCAAAAAATAACGTCGCCGAGCACCCGCGGTGTCAGGGAAGTGCCCGGCGAGGGCCTCGCCGCGCGCATTGGTGACGCCGCGACGTCGGTGGCCGGGCCGACTGCCAAGGACTGCTTTCGCGAATTTGCGGATTTTGCCGGTCGAGCGTTCGACCCGATGACTAACGAGTTTTAGCTCCCCATTGCCTGCGAGAACATGCAGTTCACCGCCAACTCCATGGAGGTGGCCAGACAGGCCCCGCAAGCACCGGGAAATTATGGGCACGCCATGTCGGTGCACTTCGTTAATTTGCGGTTTGTTTTCTATGTCGGGAAGGCCCCGGCTGCGGGGCGGCCGGGGCGAAGCTCGAATCCAGGTGGTTCAACGGCCTCAGGAGGCTGCCTTTGATTTTGCAAAGAAGGGGCGCCTCTGCCAAGAAATGGGCGATTGTCGTTCGCGGCATGGAGCCCAGTTCAACGCGCTCGGGGGGGAATTCAGGGGCATATCCCTACGGGAATCAGGGCTTTGATATTCCAGATGGCCAAGAGTGCAGGCCTCTGGGCGGCCAGTGTAGCCCGCGATCTTTGCTGGTGCCCCCAACCGTCGAAGGGCCCCGTCCGTCGCGCGGGGGCTCCGCGCAGAGGTTCTCGCGCTGAATGGTGGGCGACCGCCGAAGAAGGACTTGCTGCTGGAGATAGCCCGACGGCGCGCGAGCTCAGAGAAGCTGCGAAGCGCGCCAAGGGTCAGTTGGGAAGCAGCCCCGCGAAGCGCCTCTGGCATAGAGTCGCTGCGGCCCTGGTTCAGAATATGCTTTTCTGGTGCAACCATGTTTCGTGGAAATTGCCGGGCCATGCCGACGCGGGCGCGAGCGGAAGAATGAAGTGTAACCTGGCGGTGGCCTCGCCTGCCCAGATGTTCGAGCTTTTCGGGCAGGGCCTCCAGCATGTCCAGTCGATTTTAGTTGTTCAACATCGGCTGCAGGACGTCCAGCCCGACCGTGCTGAAGACATTCGTACTTGAGGGCCGTGGACTCATCTCATCCTGTCTCGAGACACGGAATTCGGCGAAGCATTGTGCTCAGGACAAGCAGATATTGACAGGTCTTCGCGAGATGTTATTTCACGGCGTCTTTGCTTCGCGAGAGCTACTTGATCTCGCCGAAATGCCAGCGCAGTGGAGCGAGCGCGATTGCGTTCCATCGAGTTTGGGAATGTCCTTTTGGGCAATCTTGTCGCCATGAGCCGGATGCTGATCTGGTTGAGGCGGCCGGGACTGCGGGGCCCACGTGCACCTTGCACAGCTGTCTTCGGATGGCTACCCAGAAGATTGTCCCCCGCCCCCCTGAGAAGGATATCGTTGAACACCTCGACAGACCAGGGGAAATTGATCACTTAAGCCTGGGCGTCCCAGGGGCAGACGTTTCAATCTGTGGCTCCGTCGCCCACCCCCTCATCCCCCTCCTTGCAAGGGGGGGCTGCTGCGCCGCTGAAGTGACCAGCCAAGGGGATCTTAAGAGAGCCATGAGGGATGTCCTCGCTTCTTTTGCCCCCTGCGATGACAACATGTCTGGGCGCCGCGGTCTGCTGCAGGCGTGCGCCCATCTCCAGGTCTCGCCGATCGAGGACTGGGTAGAGTTTGTCCAGGATTGCGCAGATGTTGCACATGGAGTCGCCACATCTATCAGCTCGCGTGGTGGCCGAAAACAGCAGGCTGGAAACTGGAGACAGATACAGCTACTGACCGACTATGAGCGTTAGAACATTCATATGATAAAGGCTCACCAGAGTAGGCTCCGAGGGGATCGGCCGATGGAGGGACGTAGGAGGATCCTAGACAAAGGGCGGGCTGACGCTTTAGCCAAGGAGCTTGCCAAACGTCAGTTATCGTGTGATGATGTCGGCAGGGTGGAAGCTGCTTGTCAGGAGTGGCCAAAACATATTCGGGCTTTCGTTTCCCCCTTGGAGCCCTAGGGCAAATCGCGCGATGGATTCGGCGACCTCGAGAAGGTCCCTTGGGCGCTCAGGGTATAGACCCGAAACCTATGTCGACATGGTTTTTTGTTTCGATAGATGTTGCTTGTATGGCAGTGCGTAGACTGCGGTAGATCTACCGTTTACCCAGAGAGGTACCGAAGGGGTCCCTTCACACCTTTGACTAGATCCTTCGCCACTGTTTTGAGTTTTTCCCAGCAGCCACCCCCACCTCACAACCCGTGGGATGGTCGCATCGAAACCACGGGGTCGGCGGTTGTCTTTCATTGTGTCTGCGGTTCATATGATACGAGCAGACCCCAGCACCGACTGCCAGCGTGTCATAACATCAAGCGAGCTCAGCTCCGTACGTACGTTGAAGAGTTGCAGATTCCCCTCCCCCAGAGGTGCGAGCTTCTCTGAGCCATGGCGCATCAGGGTCGGCTAAACTTCCTTTGGTTTCTGTTGTGGCAACTGAGTTGTCTCGATTCAGGTTCTTTTCCTTTTTTCCAACTTTTTTCACAGC